CCAGAGGCAGGTCCTACCACTCTTCTGGATGAGAAAACTTGGTCATGAGCCTTCACCAGCTTGCTTGCAATCACACAGGCAGCAAGACCAGAGCTGAAACTGAAGACAATGCAGCTTGTTCTAAAGCTAAGATAGGCGATAAGTTTGTAGGATCGGATGGGCTGGGCTGGGCTGGGCTTATACATTCTAACCCCAAGAGCCTGTCCTCATTGATAATAGTGACAACAGCTACCAATGTTGAAGACATCCTCTTTGAGACTGAAAAGAGAACCTGCTGGTTTGTTAGTCACTGATGTTTGTAATTTGTCCATTTGTTTATCTGCCTGAGACTTGTCCTGCTTAGGACACTGCCTCCAAAACAGAATGCGGGTGTCACCTAAGGAGAAAACTGAGAAGGGAGGGTAGTCAGAAGGCAGAAGGATCGAGTGGCAGAGGTTGGTGGGATGGGTAAGGTGTTCAAGAAGAGCCACAGTGTTGGAGTCTCAGAAGCTGCCAGGTCCTGAGTGGGTGGCCCTCTGCTGCCATTGTGTGCACACTTGTGGCCGGCCAGGCATCACAGATCGAGTTGCTGAGATGCGCTAAATTCTGCTTTATTCCTGGATATTGCTCCTACTTCCCAGTATCACTCAGAAATGAAACAGGTTTACTCTGTCCTGAAGACCTGACTGCAGTTGTAGCCCTAATTGATGGGTTTGAAGACTACAAAGTTCTTGTTGTTGGAGAATTGTGTGAGGATGACTGTGCTTCTGGGATCTGGTTTCTGCAAACTGTCCATCTGGCTGTCATATACCATCGTGCTGTTCTCTGTACTTTGTTAAAATGTATTTTCAATTTCTCTTAACTCTGTTTCAACTTCTTTTCTGTAAAAATCACTAATTATTCCTACATATGCCATCAGTTTCATGAAGGCAAAAACCCATCTTTAGGCCAGGCCAGGTGACATGGGCCTGTTTTCCTATCTAAGAGGCAGAGACAAGAGGATCAAACAATTTGAAGGCTGCCTGAGCAAAAGGGTGAGTTCAAGGTCAGCCTGGGTCACTTAATGAGATACCGTCTAAAAATCTGAAGCATAATGAAAAACTGATGTGGGTGTTCAAGGGTGGTAAGCTTGTCTACCCTAAACGAAGCCCCCAGCTCAACCACCAGTACTAGAGAGAGGGGGAGAAGAAGAGGGGGAGAGAGGGAGTGAGTGAGGAGAGGGAGAGGGAGGGGAGAAGTAGGAAGAGGGGGAGAAGGAAGAGGGGGAGGGAGGAGGGGGAGGGAGGAGGGGGAGGAGGAAGAGGAATTTAGGCTTAGTTTTGTAACCCACACATAAAAAACGAGAGTCAAATGTCTTTCTAAAATTCTGGTTGAGATGAGCCTCAGAAAGAGCTGTGGATCCCCACTAATCTCCATTAGCTCCTGTTCTCACCTCACTGTGTGGAATCAGTTTATCACTCCAGCTGATGTGAAGCCATTAGGAGGTGGGCATCCCGCAGGAGCCCTACTTTTATCCAAAGCTTGTGTGCTGCCATTTGCAAGCAAACATTGCTCCTCAGGAGAGAGCTCTCCACCACTGCAATGGGCCATACAGAGGTGGCTGCCATCACAGTTGCTGTGACCATGACTTTGCCCATTCGTTACCAATTTTCCAGTCTTGTAAGTTTAGAACCATGTGATCTTCAGTCCTTCTTTTGAGTCTCAGCCCACCTCTCTCTTGACATTTTTCATGATCTCCTGGTATTTTACATGTAACACAGTGTTTTGCTATTCTTCTCCTGCCCGTGTCTTCTACCCTGACTCAGGTCTTGTGAGCACCAGGCCTCTGAACTCTAGGACTCTGATCTAGCCCCCTTCCACACACCACATCCCCTGACAGGGATTCCAGTCAGGAACATCGTGAAGTTTATCTGAAGATCCGTACCTGGAGGAGTTCTCATGGAGTCCGAGGATGGGACTATAATGTTGAACTTTCAGAGTTGTAATCATGAGATTCAGCTAAGCATCCATAGTATATAGGTGAACTTCTACACAAGGAGTATTTGCCCAGAAGCATAAACGTGGGATAATTCTTTTATCAAACATGTTAAAATGCACATTCTAATCAAAATTCTAGAAGAAATGGAACTTGAGACTGTACTGTTGGAATTTGGGGCCATGGCAAGGCATAAGAAGGGATTGTATCGAGGAGAAACTGTGGCGTGTTATCTGAGGTTATGAAGCACTTCTAGGACACTGGGGAGAAGAGGGCACACAGCTCATGCTGCCAGATGGCCCACGGCTAGTGTTAAGGACAGAGAAGGAAACTCTGTGTTGTGCAATTAAATTAATGTGTTCTCTTCTGTAGTTGATCACCGAGTGTGGGGCAGTGAAAAGAAACCAGAGAAACACCGAGCAGTGTGGACTTGTGTTCCAATAGCTTTCTGCACCCTGATGAATCATTGAGGCACAGGGAAAACGACCTGAAAGACAGAGGCAATTTACCCATGTGTTTGCAGATGAACAACACGGGAGGAACCAAGAGTCATAGGGCAGAGAAGGTCTCATTATTTTAGGACTGTCAAATGGCATCATTACAGGTGGTTCCTTTTCACTGTGCTAACATGATTGAGCAGGTGAGGGGAGCTCTATAGGGTCTTGTTTTTATCTTCTTTAAGTTTCTCGGATGAGGTCTCACAATATAGTCCAGGTTGGCTTCCATCTCACAGCAGCCATGCTGTCTTAGCCTCCCAAATGCTGGGCTTATGGGTATGAGTCTCCAGCTTTGGAGTCTTCTGAAAGAGGAACAAAAAGAGTACTTTTATGAAGGTACCAAAAGATCTCTGTCATGATGGAGTAACTTATCACAAGTGCCAATACCATTGGCAGCTAGGATTTCACCGGGAATTTCCGGGTCACCCCAGCATCCAGCACTGTCAATGAGACCTCTGAACCATTGTGGACCAGTTAACAGGATGAGTTTACTAGATGATCTCAATGGTGAACCAAATGGCATAGCTTTAGCTTCTGCTTCTAGGTCTGTGCCCCCTGAAGGCTTGCCTGAGGCACAGCTCGGAGAGAGCAAGTCTCAAATTCCAATGCTTTCTGCAGGCTTGCCTCCTCTACTTTGAAGATGCCCCCAGGACCCAGAGGGAGACATTAGTTAGCCTTGTTTCCGTGAAGATTTTCAGCTGCACTTTTGCTGTATCTCCCAGAGGTGAGAGGCTGTGGTTCCCGCAGCCTCAGGCTTGGCACCAACTCCTCCCTGGTGAGTTCAGATCTCAAATCTGACTCCAGCCAGGGTTTCCTCTCTGTCCCAGAGTGACCTTGTAGGCGGCCTAGCAGACTGATTCTTAGCAGCCTTTACCATTGGTGATTTTCATTCCAGACAGGAGCCGATGGGTTTCTGAAAGGGACTGTGTGGGTGTCTCTTACCGTCTCCACTCTGGCCTGGGTCTGGCAGAGATTTCCTCTGTGGACTGGGTAAGGAGTTCTGATGAAACCAGGCTGTCCTGGTGCTTTGGGGTGTGTAGAACAACTAAAGCTCTTATTATTGGTAGATGGCCTGCACCTGGGCTGGTCACATCCCTCCTGAGCTGGGGTCTGCTCTGCTAAACTACGGTGGGCCAGATACAGTGTTAGAAGTTGTGTTTTTGCAATGAACAGTAGGTAATGCAGATACTCATAACTAGTCCAAGAGATGAGAACAAGTAACTGTAGAGTGTCCATCCCTGAGTGGGACAGATATAACTAGACCCTCCTTGTCCCAGACTCAGGGAACATCATGGAAGGGGCAGAGAGAATGTAAGCTAGGGGATGGAGGGAGTGCTGTGAAATACTATCGTCTAGATATGACATGGCTACTACATTCAGGGACTCACGGCAGCTGTGCCCCCCCCCCCGCACAAAACTTGTACTAGGTCAAGCTAGTCAGCATTCCAGGATGGATGGAGAAAGGATGCCTGGAGTTCCATCTCTACTAGGATACAGCTGATAGCTGGAGAGGGGGTGTCTTTTTTGGGGGGCATAAACACTGCTAGGTTGCACATACTTCAATGGATGACCACACAACCACATGCATTCAGGCAGCACTAATTTGAATCAATGTCTATAAAAAAAAGAAGAGGGCATTAAGGTAGGAGGGGGACATGTGAGGACAGGAGGAATAGGAGTGTGGAGTTGGGGTGGATATAATAAAGATATATTGCATACATGCATAAAATGTTGAAAATAAGTTAAAATTTGACTTAAAAATTTAGAGCACTGGGGCTGAGAGACAGCTTAGAATCCCCTCATTCTTTTTTTTTTTTTTTTTTTTTTTTTTCGAGACAGGGTTTCTCTGTATTGTTTTGGAGACTATCTTGGAACTTGCTTGATGGACCAGGCTGGTCTCAAACTCACAGAAATCTGCCTGCCTCTGCCTCCCAAGTGCTGGGATTAAAGGCGTGCGCCACCACCGCCCAGCTCTAAAGCCCTTCTTATGTGTTGTCCTTACGGCATTCCTGAGGGATAAGTGCCACTATTACCCTCTTTTTCACAGGTGAGGACAAAGGTACCAAAGTCAAGGTAAGCCTAGGCTTCTCTAGGTGGTGAGAAGTAGAGGTAACATTCTACAGAAGCCTGGAGAGTTTGACTTCAGACAAAGTGATGGAAATTGGAGCATCCTGGAGAGGGAAGGAAGCATTGAGTCTGCCACCAGAGTTCAAATAAAGTAATGAAAACTGGATGAGATGCTGCTTGAGGACTCACCACTGAGACCTCAAGAGAAAGGCAATTTGTCACCACACTCAAGTCCTTGCTTGTCACTCTTTCCCACTTGACTCCTTTATCCCATGACCTAAATCCTTATTCTGAGTTTCAAGACCATGAACAAATTGGTGATAAATTAAAATCTAAGCAATATTAAGAAATGGACACTTCGTTTTATGGCAGGCGAGCTTTATTGGAGCAACTTGTTATAGTTATTCTTTGCTTGACACCATGCCACCTCAAAACTTATGAACCAAAGCAACACTAATCACTTCTCACATGCCTCTGCTTAGGTGACTGGGCTCAGCTAAGCGTTCTTGCTCAGGGCCTACCTTCAAGTTGCAGTAAGTTGCTGTGATGGAGCTTGCCTAGGGGACTCATCTTTCCCAGTTGTGAGTTGGATACTGTTATCCCCTGCGACCTTGGTGAGAACACCTTCATATGACTTCTTCATGTGGTTCCAGCTTTCTCACAGCATGGTGGCTGGGCTTCCAGGTTAGCAGTCAAAACAGATGGTCTTTAGTATGTAGTTTCACAAGTGTCATTTTCTACCCCTTCATTTTGCTAGATGTGACTGAGTTAAACTTATGTTCAAGGGAGGACAATTAGACATGAACACTCAATGAAAATGTAAAAACAGCCAATGGAGGTGCTTTAAAACAACCACAGAGATTTCCCTAGTAACTATTCTGGTTTTAAAACAAGCAAACAGAACCTAAAGAAGTTGTGTGTGGCTCTGAGTTTTAGGAAGGAAGACCAAGTATCTGGGACAGGAGGTGCAGAGTAATAGAGAATGACTACTGGACTTGATGATTAGATGTTTGACCCAGCCTCTGGTACCCTGGAGAAAGGTCATGCATCTGGAGAGCATTGAGAAAGACAATCTCTTAAAGTTTTCACCACTGTGGTTCTGCTGTTTTGGGGACGAGCAAGTTCCTCTGGCACCTTCCAAACCCTCACGGCACCATTCTTCATGGTGATACTCCTGTGCCCCGAGCTTTAGAGAGATAGCTTCTGCTCATGAACTCGTGTTTTGGAGGGCTAAGGAGGAGCTGGGACAGGAGTGGGATGGGGGAAAGAAAACGAGAGACTGGGTAGGAAGGAGATTCATATGTTAAATCATATTTGGAAGTGAGATGTGTGTGTGTGTGTGTGTGTGTGTGTGTGTGTGTGTGAAGATCCAGGGTCTGCTGGAGCATAACAAGGTCATGTCTAAGGTCTTGACAAACCAAAGAATATTGCATTGCATGTTTTGTGTTTGGAGAGATCTCTAGATCCTTTATTTTATTTTTTTATGCTATCTACCTCTTCCTCCTGGAAATCTTGTGACAACATATAGCTTTAACATCCCAATGGAGTGTAATACAAAAATGAAAACAGGTGGATGATGTTACATAGGGTCTATGATTGGTGACCATTCTCTGTCCAGGAAGAGGGCATCTTCCGCAACAGTGAATTTGTCCTTTACCCCCTCCTGTTCCTAAATGGGGCATGAGGCAATGAGAGCTGTCTGGATCACTGTTTCCTTCAAAAACTTTACAAATTCTAGTCGCCTCCGTTTTACAGATGAAAACAAAGAGGTAAAGGGAAACAAACTGCTCTGACAAAGGCAGGAGTAGCACTTACTGTTCCATGAAGCAGTGCGGGTCACCCCAGGTCACCAGAGTCACATCTCCAGTCCTTAGGCATGTGTTGGGCCGTTCTGGGATTTTGGCTCAGGATTGTGGGCATCATATGGGGAAGAAAAAGGCCCAGGAGGAAGTTGGGAGTGAGGGAGACTTTGACTCCTCAGGAGTCAAGATAAACATGAAGATGTTTGGCAGATTTTGTTGTTTGTGTGTATATGTGTCTGGGGACCTCTTACCCAAACCAAAGTCATTTCTGCATATTTGTCTGCTGAATATGAAATACTCCAAAGATGACTCTTCATATTTGTAAAATTTGAAATGGAAGTTACTCAGCAGAGAGGAAAAACAAGTCTTGAATGCCCTCCAATGTCCTCTGAGTTAAACACGTGAGTGTGAAATTTCTCCTCACCAAAACCTAATCTTCTACATGTGTACATGTAGGTGTCATACAATTATATCTGTGCATACGTGCTCACTCCAGATTGACTGAAGTCCTTTGATCTCATTTCCATCTAGACCTTGGACTTTCCAGGGATGTGTGGGCAGAGCTGATTTTCTCGGAGGGCAGCACTTCCTCTGTAGTCCCTGACACAGGCTTCATCAAGAGCCTTGAGGAAAACCTATAGACATTGATTCTTCACCAAAGCCAGCACCATCCCAGGTAGTCCCTAGCTATTGGGTCTGGGACAATGGACAGTTTGAGAAGAAGTACCACCTGCTAAACTGGGATGCTCTGTTTGGAACATAAGCTACACACCTGAACAGTTGGTTATGAACTGGATTTTAGCATGTTTGATCATATTTTGAATGGATTGGCTGTTTAATGATGCCTAGTCATGAGTCCTTTAGCAGTGTTGGCTACTTGCTCCACAATTTACAACTTTGATGAGTAGATTTAAAATGTTACTTTAAGTGTACTATGCGGGATCTGTTACTCAAAACCATCCATCTAGAAATAAGGGGTGATATTTTTTAAAAAAATGAATGTTATTTATTATAGTTATGCTTATAAAGGAATTTCTGCTTATATTTATATGTATATATCCCTCCTCTAAATCTGTTTATTTACCTCCCTACTTGCCTTCTACATGTCATCTGTCTTAATTTGTTATCTTTCATCATCCACTTATATATCATCTATCATTTTCATCTATCTTTCATTTATAATCTATCAACCATCTACCAATTTATTTCTCTATTCATCCATCATTTAATATCATCTACCAGTCAACATTCATCGTCTATTATCTATCATCTATCATCTATCTATTTATCTACCCAAACACCCATCTACCTGTAATCAATTATCTACCTACTATTTTTCTATGTATCTACATTTCTATGTATCTACATCTAAATGTAATGGACATCTATCATGTATCTATTGATTCATCTGTCATCTACTGTAGTCTACTTTCTGTATCACCCATCAATCAACATTTATCATCTATCAATCACCTATTTATGTATGTATCTACCTTCATCATCATCTAGCATATATTTATCATCTATTCATCTATACCTCCATCAATTTCATCTATTATCTGTCACATGGATTTAGTTCTATAGTGAAGAACAGACTTTGCAGTGGGGCTTGTGGTTTGGACTGCTAAAGAATGTTGTTTCCACCATCACAGGTAGGTCAACCTTGCTCCGAGATCACGGAGCATATGAATAAGATGAGATGGTGACATTAGCTTTGACCCTTCTCTATGAAGTGGCCTTCACTATGGTTGAGAGAGGCTTTTGTAAGCTCTTATGAGTTGAGAGATAATTAGTAAGAAGCTGGATTTACCATACTCTTGTTTTTTCCCTTCCCGAATTGTTGATCAATTCTGGGTGTGGATGCCACACCTTGCATTTTTCTTCCTGACTTTGTAGTATTCCCAAATCCTTTGTGGACTATCCAGAGGTAGACAGGCAATAATCTTTGATAAGATTTTGCAGAGTTTATGGGAAGTCCTGAGATGTGGCCTCCTCTATGTTCACTTAGGAGTAGTTATCAAACACGGAGAAGGGAAGAGGATTTTGAGTGTGAAGGGAGAAAAAAAATGGGATTCTTTACTATATATTCTCTTTGAGCCACATATCCCCTGATATTCCTTGGAAGGGCAGAGAAAAGCTGGCCTTGGCAATCTAGCAACTGGAATCAATGTTAACTGTCTTTCCTTCTAACTTAATGGCCCAAAGTAGTAGAAAATCAACTTCATTTTTAAGTAGGGAAAGCAGAATCCCAGATCTTAGATGACTCATACTCTTGACTTGGCAGACAATAAAGATGGGTAAAGATGTGAACTATACTCAGAGTGGATGAGAAGTAGCAGCCAGCCCAAGTAAGGCTATCCAGGTTGTAGAAGAAAGATGGTGATTCCCCTCCACATGATTTTGAGGACCATGATTAGAAGGGATTCAACATTCTGAACTAGAAAGGTGCAAGGTGATCCTCAACCATTGCTGCCCCCATGTGCCAGATGTACAGATCAATACAGTCTCTGAGTAGTCCAAGTGACTCTTGGAGGTACAGGCCATACTGCCCCAACACCTCCCATTCTGGAACATACAGAAGGAAAGAATCTTGATATTATGATAGCCTGATGCCAGGAATGATCTTTCCATATTTTTTTAGAAAAGCTGTTATAAGTGACATTAACCAAGAACACATTCTCCTTTTAAAAATCAAACGGCAAGCTGGGAAGGTGACTCAGAAGATAAAGGGCTTGTCATAGAAGTGCTAGGATTGAAGTTTGGATCTCTAGAGCCCACATAAAAGCCAGATGGGTGTCTCTCCTTGCCTGAAATCTCCAGGTGTACAGGGAATTCCTGGGGCAAACTGGCTAGTCAGACTAGCAATGTCCATGAGTTCTTGTTCAGTGAAAGAGACTAGCTGCATCAGTAAATAAAGTGAAGAATGATCTAGGAACACAGTTGATGTCAATTCAACATCTGTTCTCTACACAAAGGTACTCACACATGTGCATTTTCTTATCCATGCAAACACACTTATATCTATATATGTGCACATACGCCACATACACATAGACATGAAACAGTAGAATTGTTATGAATAACTCAGTGTTTCACAAGTCCTCTTGCTGAAATCTACACTCCATCTCACATCTCCAGCTCTGAGGGAATCACTGTTGTTAGCACAGTGATTCACCTTTCAGATTTTCCATGAATAGATAAATGTGTGTGTCCATAAAAATATATAGCGTGTTTCATAGAGACTTTGCAGCCTTCTTGTTCACCTAAAAATATATCATGAATGGTAAGTCATGTGGCCACATATAGCTGTAACTCTTTCTTTTTATTTTAAAGGTTTATTTATTGTGTGTGTGTGTGTGTGTGAGTGATCTGCCTGCATGTATGTATATGTGCCCTGTATGTGTGGTGCCCACAGAAGCCAGAAGAGAGCACTGACTCCACCTGGGACTGGAGCTACAGTGGGTTGTGAGTTGCTATGTGGATGTTAGGAGATAAATCTGAGTCCTCTGTAAGAGCAGTAAGTGCTGTTATGCGCTGAGTCAGCTTTCCAGCCCCTGGAATTCATTCTTTTTCACCATCCTAGAGTATTTTATAGTTAGGAACAGTATAGTTTATGGCATCCCTTTGTTGATCTTCCCAAGGTTTTGTTACTTAGAAGACACAGTGCAAGCACTTGCTTGTACACATACACTGTGTTTACATGCAACTCTTTCTCTAGGCCAAGTAACAAGTAGGGTATGTGATACAATTTCAGCTAAGTTATCTTCTAACTCTGATCAGTGGCTCAGTGTGGAGCACACATTTCTCCGTGGTGTTGTCCAATCTCACATCACCATACTTGACAAGCTTGTGAGACTGATTGAACTACTGCTTTGATGTTTGGTTTTTTGAGCTCAAATACTTTCTGAAGCAGTTTACTGTTCCCTTTGTTAAGTAGTTTTTTATTTACTTGGCCCATATTTCTAGTAGCTTTTTACAACAGAAGTTGTTTTGTTTCATAGTTTCAAATATTAACCTTTGTTCCCTGCTTATTTTTTAAGTTTACAGAATATTTTTTATCCCTAGGATGTTTTGAATTTTTATGGAAAACGTTATCATTTTTTTCTTCTATGGATTTTGCTTTCCATGCTTTTTCATGCAAGGTTTTCTTTCCTTTAGTTTATGACAAAGCTTTGTACTTTCTTGAGCTCCCTTCTTTTTTCTCCTTTGGTTTTTTTTCTGAGACTGGGTTTCTCTGTGTAGCCCTGGCTGTCCTGGGACTTGCTCTGTAGACCAGGCTGGCCTTGAACTCATAGATATCCCTCTGCCTCTGCCTCCTAGGTGCTGGGATTGTTATTCTGTCTTTTATTGTGGGTTCTTTATTTTTGTGTGAGGTGTGGATATGCCTTGGGTTTTGCTTTTGAAAAGGCTGTTGAATCGTTGGACACTTCACTGACTTTCTGTGCCCCCTTTACTGAGATGCTTATTTGTCAAATGCTTGTTTATTCGTCATGACTCCTGGCTGCCCAGCCTCTTCCCTGCTCTGTTTGTCTGTCTCTGAGACACTTGCTCGCTTAGAAGAGTTTACTGCACTCCTTCCTGGAACAGCTCACCACGGTTGCAGTAAACCTTGTTTTCTTTACTGTACAGAGATTCTCTTCACACCTCAGAGTGTCCCATTTATTACAAGATTGAAAGAGGTTTAGAGCATTTGGCCTGCCAGTTTTCACCCATAAACCTTTTCATGCTTTCATTATTTATTTGCATACCATAAGCTCTATGATGATGATGATCTTGTCTGACTTGTTTATTTGTATCTATGTGTTCACATATGTATGGGTGAAGGCCAGAGGTCAATGCGGGATACCTTCCTTGATCACACTTCACCTTGTTTTTTTTTTTTTTTTTTTTTTGAGTCAGGGTCTCTCACTGAGTCTGGAGCTCAGGAATTTGGTTGTGAATCCTCTTTTCTTTGCCTCCCCAGTGCTGCAATTTACAGCTGTGCTAGTGTCTTTTAGTGACTTGGATTCTAGGAGGTCAAACACAGGACCTCATGCTTCTGTAGAGTACATTACTGCCTGAACCATCTCCCCAGTCCTTCTGGGACATTTAAGACATATGCATCCCCTGTGAGGGGACGTTTACAAAATAATTTATTAGTAAATGAGTGAAAGGCAATATTCCAGGGGCATTTTGAATTTTATTTTTTCAAACCTGGATAAATTGTTTGTCAAAGAAGTTCATGTTGTTATTGGCAAAACCTCATAGAGAAGGACTCTCCTAACGCTAATATTTACACATATGCTGTGAGCTCCATGCACATGTCACGTGACTAAATCCTGGATCCTTGAGACAGTTCCTTCAGAGTGTTTTGTCTGCTCATAGGCATCATTGGAGAGAGTTCCTCTTAGGGCAAAAAGTTTCAGATTAGCCAGATATAATCATGGAGTATTTAGGTCTTGAACTCAGAGAGATCTGTCTGCCTGTGCCTCCCAAGTGCTGGGATTAAAGACATGTACCAACACTGCCTGGCAACTCTATTTTATTTAAAGAAAACCATTTGACTGTCCTACTTAAATTTTTTGGGGGGGTGTCTGTTGAGATGGCTTAGTGGGTACAGGAGATTTCCACCAAACCTGATGATCTGAGTTTGATCCTTGGGACCTCCATGAAATGGACTCCCACAAGTTTTCCTCATATTGCCACATGAACACATGTGAACATGCACACACAATTAATTAACAAGTAAATGTAGAAATTTAATAAAAAGATGGTTTTAGGGGCCGATGAGATGGCGCAGGGGGTAAAGGCACTTGCTGCCAAGTCTGATGACTTGAGTTCAAATCCCAGAACACATGTGATAGAAGAAGGGAACTGACCTCTGCAGGTTGTGCTCTCATGATGCATGCATGTGTGCATGTACACACAACACACACACACACACACACACACTAAATAAATGAATAAAAATAAATGAAAAGGTTTTCAAGTGGAACCACATATTACTGTTTAGAAATCATCACAGAAAGTTCCTGTTTGTGTCATCCCCTCCCTTACTCCATCTCACTCACTGCCCATTCAGACCTTGCCTGTCAGACTAATCAGACTGATGTCTCCCTGAGTCTTCCCCACTCAGTCGAGCTTACAGGGATTTCTCTCCTTGTCATTTATCAGTGTTATCTGGACGACAGTTTTATCTTTATGTAGTCATTGTGAAGACATTATACAGAATCCCTGTGTGCCTGACATGAATCAGTGTCTTACATTACTACTGTCTGTCAAATGCACAAAGCAACGTTGATACATTGCTAAAGTCCATAACTTACTCTGACTTCTTCTGTTTCCCCCATGTCCCTTTTCAAGTCCAGGATGCATACAGTGAGCCACTCATCACATTTTCGTTAGTCTCCTATTGCCTTCCCTCCTGTTAGCAGTGACAGTTACTCAGGCGTTCTTGTTTTGGATGACTGACAACACTGAGGATCAGTTGGGAATCTTGTAGAAAGACTCCCACTTAGTATTTGTCTGTTGTTTTCCTTAGGAACAGACAAAGGCCATGGTTTGTGGGTTGGGACCATTGACCTCAAGTGCCTTCCCATTACATTCTGTCAAGGACATACAAGGTCACAATGACTTTTCAGTGCTGATGTTATATAACCACAGTTGCCTGACACTAAGCAGCTTGTCAGATTTCACCACTGAAGAGATGCTCTCCTGCCCCTCCCCAAGCTCATGTTGCATCCTTGGGAAGCAAGTTACTATGTGTGACTTAAGTGTAAGGAGTTGGAAGTGGGAGGTGAGAGGCTCCACTTCCCTAAAAGCAGATTAGTTACATAAATTATTTGGAATTCTTTTTCATGGGAAATGGGCTGTTTTCCCTCATTTGTTTATTCAGTCATTTATTTACATCAGCACGACTTGTGGATATTTATTTTATACTCTGAGCTATAATCCAGTACTCCTTTATTTATTTTGATGCTCAATTTGTTCCAGCATTGGTTTCTGGGAGATATTTTGGCTGACTCCTATGTGCTTCTGCTATACTCCACTGTGTGTGTGTGTGTGTGTGTGTGTGTGTGTGTGTGTGTACGCATGCACATGCGTGTGCGCATACAACATATATCCCAGTCTTACTTTAATGGATTTCCTGACCTAGTCTTAGAATCAACCATTTTTCTAAGGAACTTTGATTCCTTTTTTTGGGAGATGGGGTTAGAAACTAAGATCTGGGCACTTGGTTTGCATTGTCAATGGAGGGTCACTTCCAGGATGCTTTGCCCTTTTAGCTGAGGAAGTGAGGGGGTCAAATGATATGCATTATATTCACTTGTATACATAGAAATACCTATAAAATTTTCCTTATGTAACCAACCACCTAGGCTTCTATGGAATTAATTCTTGATATATACTGATATGTCTATATTTAATGCATTGTCACATGATCACTGTGACAAGGAAACTTTAAAACAGTAAGCTACAAAGTTCTGCATATCACTTTGAAGCTAATGGACCAAGATAACTGTTGAATTTACAGAACTTTAAAAACATGTTAAAGTTACTGATTTTTTTGTTTTAATGTTGGAACTAGTGTTGGTAATATGAAAATGCTAGATGACATCATAAATATAAATTTTACTTTATTGTTACCATTCTGCATTTGCTTCAGTAATATGTTGCAACCTGTGTATAGTAGTTTTGCTGATTTTAATTACAGGAGTGACTGTATAATCTAATGGAATTGGAAAATTCTTACATTAGATGTTCCCAGGGTATATTAAAGATTTAAATATGGAAATAAACATTGCAAGAATCCCACACTATCTGTGAAGATCATATTCATGTGTGTTGGTGAAATGTGTATTACTCATTTCTTTTCCTTCTCTTTCTGTTTTCTTGTATTATGTGCTGCAGACTCCGGATCCAACTCCATCTTCTGAAATGATCCCGATTCCCAGAATGCCCCTGGTGCTGCTCCTGCTCTTGCCCATCCTGGGTTCTGCAAAAGCTCAGGTTAATCCAGGTAACACAGCCACTACTCAGGTGGATGCTCAAGACCAGGTGCCTGCCAATGCCTTTTAGTGGTTATTTTAGAAAGAGTTCTGCCAAGGGAACCCACAGTGTCAGTTGTTTTCACCTGCGTGGTGAAATGTGGCCAAGTCAGGAACAGAAAGCTCTATCCATTCCCTGCCCACATAGAATGTGTTGGATATTATACAAGAGGTTTTATGTAGTTCAGAGCAGTTTAAATGCTATTTGTTTAAATGGGAGAAGGAACAGCTATTTGTCAGTGTAGGATACCAGGTTCCCAAGAGCCCAGGTGGTGTCTCTTTTTCTCATATACCTAAAGTATGTGATGGTGTCATTTGTCTGTTACACAGTAATGCTGTTTAACAATTTTCAATAGCCCAGTGACTTAAAATGAGTGTTTCTTGTTCTCACAAGCTCCCAGTTCGATGATCTCTGCTGTGCTTGGTTGGACTGTACTTTGACCTGTCTTTGTGAATTTTTCTCTCTGGGAATCAGCTGGCTATTGGCTGATTAAGGGCAGTTTTTGGCTGTTGCTCCATGTGGATTCCTCCAGCAGGCTAGCCTGGTTATGTTTTCATGGAAATTACACAAGAGCATGAGTGGAAACAGGAAAGTACAATCTTTCAATCCACTGCTCAAATTATGTTTCTTAAGACGATATTGGCAGGGATGTGGGCTGCGCTTGGTGGTGCTTGTCCACTAAGTTCCTGTTTTAACTCCCAGCACTGAACAGGGTGGGGCCTCTTTGATCAAGGCAAGTCATATATATAGCTTTGCCCAGAGTCCAAAGGAACAAAAAAGTACACAGTAAAGAGAAAGGTAGAGATTTTTAAGTCATATTTTTTATTTCTTGACAAATATAAACAAATAGAAGTACACATATATTATGTGTTCAATTTGATAGATTTTAACAAACCCAACATATCCATTCAGACATGTCTAACCTGAAGCAGAGGGTAGCTATGAATGTGGGCTATCACGAAAGTACACACTTAGATAAAACAAGAGATTTTTTTATGTGATCTTTTTGATTGTGCTGCTCTTGAATGTGAACTTTGTAGATGACATTGTGTGGCAATATCCAATGATTAGACAGACCTGGCAGTGAGCTACACTTTTATATATAAGAAACAGAGGCATCACGGAGCTTGTTCTTCTACGCTAGCCCAGTGGCATCCATTATATTGCTTTTTAGCAAGAAAGACTCATTTTGTCTATTTGTACTTTATATAAATAGAGGCATATGATACATGCATACCGTGTCTAGCTTCTTTTTTATTTTGTTTTTTTATAAATTTTATTTAAATTAGAAGCAATCTTATTTTATATATCAATCCCAGTTCCTTCTCCCTCTCATTCTCCAATGCCCCCCCAGCAACACCCCCATCCTATCCCCCAACCACTCCCCAGGGAGAGATCACCAGTTTTTCAATGTCATTTTCAGAGACAGAGCCCTGATTCTGGCCTGCCAGGACATGAGAGCACTGTAATATTGGAGTATTGCGTCTAGCTTCTTTAACTGGACATTTCCTGCATGGCATTCGTTCCATGGCTACATCCAGTGGTTGTTGGCCCATTCTTGCTCTTGTATAATACTGCTTTGTTTGCACACTTCGTTTACATGTCTTTAACCTAAAGTATACGATTATGTCATTCGTCTGTTACACAATAATGTTATTTAACAACTTCAATAGTTTAGTGACTCTGATGGATGGGAACTTGGATAGTATAGAGTTTGGGCCTGCTGTGAAAAAGTCTTCCATATTCTTGCATAGTTTGTGGTAAGGATATATACTCAATTTTCTGGAGTTATATCCAGAAGTGGAATTCCTGGGTCACTTGTAACATGTGATTTAATGTTCTTCATAATGGCACGGAGTTTTCCAGAGTGATTTCTACCTGCTTACCCTCCCACAGTAATATGTAGAGTTCAGTTTTTCAGCTATCCATAATTACATTCTTAAGGGCGTATTCATTTTGTCTTTTTACTAGCATAATGGTACATTTGAGAGAGTACCTCCTCCACCAATTCCTCATTCAGGAACTATTCTTTATACCCTTAATAGGAAACATGGTCAAAACTCCTTTAAACAAAGTCAAAGCATTGTCAGTTGAATGAATTCAATGCTTTTTTTTCCACCTTGGACACCTCTAATTTTGTGCTTTGTATGCCTCTTACTCTGTAAAATTTGGTTGTCTTCTATGACGGTCTTCCTGCTCTGAGCTCCAAAGAGGCCAAGAGTGCACACAATGTCTAGGTTCTGGGTGTTGATGGGAGATGGTCTTCTGTATACAATTTTCAGCAGCATGGTGTCTCCCTCGGGCCTTCTCTCTGCCTCTTCTCCCCAGAATTCTCCTCATCGCATAGCCCTGCCTATTCTCCCTGCCTGGCTACTGTGTTTTATTCATCAACCACTATGAGAAACATATATACAGAAGAGCATCTGCCATCAGGGTGTCATCATAGAGGTATACCTGGGGACATTTAAGCAATTGAGCCAGGAAAGCCAGGCTCCAGTGTTGGGATGCAAGCTGTAGTCCTTGAATAGGAAACAGGCTGCCTGAAGGCAATTTCACTCCCTGTTGTGCTGTTAGGTATTTCTGTTGGCTCTTTCCACCAGCACAAAGAAATAGATGGCTTGATTTTGAGAAATCTTTCCTAGGAACATGGTACATATGGAAGAACTAACCCTTCTCTCTGCCATCCCCTTTCATTTAACCAAGTTAAACTGGAGACGAGGATGTAAAAGCAGACAAAAAAATTTCCATTTCTCAGTATTAAGTGGTCGACGTGGAACTTGGGGCTCATGGAGTTGTGTGGTTTAGCCACTGCTCAATGTAGAGTAGATGCATGATTAATACTTATTGACTTAGAGGAGACTCTTCACGGGTCTCTACTGGTATTTCCCAAAATACTGGGGCAACTCAAAGTACTGATAGTGACTGAAAGCAATGAGTTCTGGGCCTTAGATTTTCCACACTGGTTAGCCACATCGTGTAGCAGAGAGACCTTTTCTATAAGCAAATATTATATGGCCATCTATTGACAGAAATAGGTTTAAGGCCATGTCAGAAGATATCAGAAATCCTTTCACAAGTCAAAAATTCATTTGATGATTGTTAAAAGATGAAACTGAACTCAGCAACTCAAATAGCAATTTAAAAAGTCAAACATTCTAACATAGTGCTAGAGATATACTAATTTGATACATATGGAGGAGTGATGGGAAAATGTTAAGTCTACCCTACATAATTAAATTATTATGTTTCTCTAAGAGCAGAAATCTTTGCAATACAATAAAAAACACTGCAGCCCACAATATATGATAGTTTGGAGACTGAGCCCTGTGGCTTTGGGCAGAGTTCATTGGCACTGGGGTCCCGATAGCTTACTCAGTGCTAAGTGCATGTGTTGTGGGCTGAGGAGCAAGGTTCTGGTGATGTAACACCGGTGCAACATGGGTGAGCGTTGCCAGAAACACACAGCTGTTATGCGTTTGATTTTGATCTTTGTCATTGCACTTTCAAAAACCTTCTATTGCTGCCAATATTTTTACAAGTCCCACGCTCAGCTACATCCCCTCCTTCAATGTGAGATTGTGACCCACAGTTTAAGGCACTACGCTCTCATGCATCTGAGCTTTGGCAAAGGTGTTATTAAGTTGGGTAATGCCACTGGCATTTCCAGAGATGACAGTTGTAAAGAGAAGCCTTTTCCTTGCCAGCAGCTTAGTTCCCCCCCCCCCACACCGCCAGTCACCTGGGCTCTGCCGCGTTGTAGTCCCCAACTAACACACAAGACGCTGGATTAATTATGACGCTGTTGGCCTTGCTTGTTTCTTACTGGCTAGCTCTGACTTAAGTATTTATCCTATAATTGCTAATCTAAGTATTTCTCTTACCGGAGAAGTTTCCGGGCTTCTTATCCCTATGGCGGTTACACCTTGACTCCCTGTGTTTCTCCTACCCAGAGTCCTCCTTGACTCCTAGTCCCACCTATCTTGCTTCCTATTGGCCAACAGTGCTTTAGTGACATATATACAGGACTTTCCCCATCAGACAGTGTTCAAAGTGGCAAGAGGGGCTGCAGGGTAGGGCTCTGGAAGTCTTCATAAGAAATGCTGAGGTGCAGTATGCTCCAGCCCAGCAGTATGGGTGGTGTGCTAGCAACCTTTCAGTACCAACAGTGTACAACCCAACCCTAGCAATTGCCAATCTGATGGGGGAGGTACTGGAAGGACCGAGGGCAGCAGCATCTTACAACAGAATCATAATTCACAAGTTGACTAATGGCAATCCACACCCAATAAACAACTATTCTAACAATTTCACAAAAATCATTTTTTACAAGTCAGCAAGTCAATTAGGGTGGGATTGGAAAATTCTGATGATCTATAGTTCATTTAGAAAACTAGTTAGTTTTATTATTAATTAATTATTTACTATAAGCTAATTAAGCTTAAGGCTCAACTTGAAGCCAAAGACTAGCTTAAGATTAAAAGGAGGACACAGAACTCTTACCTGGAACTTTAGTCTCTTTATCGTGTTAAACTAGGAAGTTCTGAGGTAGAAGTCCTTCAGGGCCAGTTGGCCATGGCAAAGAAACTGAAGTGTTGGGGATGCTCTGGGCCCCTTCAGTACAAAGTTGTCACCTTACTCCAGGTCCCTTCACTTCCATCAAAGCTTATTCATGTTGTCTCTTCTATATATGTCTAAAATGAAAAATTGTTTTCATTTCCCTGTGTTCCCACTATTCATGTCTCCAGAGAAATGCTGAGAGTTTAACTAGTGGTCTCTCCTCTCTCTCTTCCTCACTCCCACTCCCTGATGACTGGAATAAAGCCCTGGGAGGGAAGGATAGAAAAGCAAGAAGGAGATGACCCTGGATGAATTTCTCTCAAATGAGCAATGCTAGATGGGCTGTCTTTCTTGCATGTTTGTTTGTCAAGTCTAGTCCTGTGCCGCCTCTTGTATCCTTCCTTCCAGTAAAAG